GCCATATATTGTGAAGCACATTAACTGGTGTAGTGAGAAACCCCCTAATTAGCCGAGCTGTGAAAACCAGTGTAGTAGGAGCCTTGCCTGAGCTTAATTTTCATCACAGCAAGTGGCCATTGTTGGAGGGTAAGGGGCCACACGAAAGAAGACTTTCCAAGTTAGAGAAAATAAACTCACAATTCAAAGTACTTTCATACTCTCCCACCTGACAAGACAGCCAGCATTTACTTGATAGCAGCATCTGAAATGCAATGCAATGAATTTAACTGTCTTAGTTTTGTGGCCTATTAATCTACAACCCTGCTGAGGTGCCATGGTAACAGATGGAGCTCCTGGCTGGGGTTGCACCAGGGGTGGAAAGTCTCTGTTTTGGATTTGCAATACAGTTTTTTGTAAACTTCTGCTCTTACATCTTCATCCTCAGCATATTGAAAAAGTGCAGCAGATTTATTTAAGCCTGTGTTAAGTTCTGAACTTCGAGACATGGGGAAATCAAGCCAGTAAAAGCCCATAGTATTAAACTGTATTTTGGGGAATGTAGTATTAGGAGCAGCCTGCAACGATCTGCCCCATGCATTTCTTTTCCAAATACATTTGATTGAACCTGCGCGGGGACAAAAAGGGCTTTACAAACCTGTGGTATGTTACACAGCCTTTTGCAAAGCCTTCACTTTCCAAAGCAAAAGGTATTGGATGACAGTGTTTCTCAATTTGCATTGATGAGGGTAATGCTGATTCTTCCTCTGCCTGGAAAAAAATCCCAGAGAGACTTGAACAGCACAATGCTTGGAGACACTGGAGGCTGTGCAATGAAAAAGTGGCCATTTAACATGAGTAAAGTGAGTCTGCTAGATGTAATTTAACTTACACCTGATACCAAGGTGATTTTGAAAACAAAAATCCATGCACTTTCTGAAATCTCAGATCTACTTAGTCTAAATTGAGAGAATGAGGCATCTCACACAGCATCTGGTGCTAGAAATGACTGCCATTATCTGAGCAGTTGTGCCTTCTGACTGGGAATAGGTAAGGGCTAAATTTAGAGCCATGAGGAAACCAGGTATGTGCGAGAACAGGGACCTGGAGCTTAGTGAGCCTGACAGAGGTGTTTCACGGGGATGCTCGAAACAGCCAGCAAGGTACCAGCCCGTAGCAAGTGGGTGCTTATGCCGGGGAGCAATGTGATTTGCTGGGCAAATGTTGGCTGCACGTCTCTGTGTGTCACACAGCGGGGACGCAGTGCTGGCAGCGTGTGATTCAGCACACGGAGACCCTGGGGACCTGAGGTGTGGTGGGTATGTGAGAGCGTGGCTGCAGCCAAGGGTGACCCCGTCAAACTCCCTGTTGGGTCTGATCTGTGGCCAACTCTCAGCTCCGAAACCGTGCCTGGGAATCGCTGTGGGAGACTGTTGGTTGCCAAGTACCCATTCCAGATGCATTTTGGACAGTAGAATGCACCCATGACCAGCTTCCCTAACAAAATTTACTGCTGTTAAAAATGGAGATGAGATAATGTGATGGATCACTATTGTGTTATTTCTTTTACCTGTCAACAAGACTTCTCTCTGTTTAAATGAACTGCACTGCTTTTCTTTCTTGACAGTCTTAGGCTCATGAACTCACAACTCCAGCAATCACCTACCACTCAGGAAAATTAGCTTTTGAATTTACAACAGCTCTTCATTTGGCTGTCTTGGCTGCAATTTTTAGAAGTAAATGATTTTGTACTTTGTTTATGTGTTTCTCATATTCTCAGTAAGCAATGGGAGGTTTGAGAGAGAATATAAATCTGTAATTCTATTTTAAGGATTTTTTTTGTATTGTTCTTCTATTATTACTTCATCTAAATACATATATAAGGCAATTTAATTCATAAGAATCTCTGAGTGTCACATTCTGCCACTTCAGCATTGTAATAAATATTACTTTAGTCAAGAAATGTTCCTCTTACTTTCAAAGGGACTACACACTGAAGCAGTTTCTAGTAGGTATGGATGAAAACAGCAGACTCTGTTGTATACAGCTGCTTGAATGGGTAGATGACCACCAACATGACCAAAGAGTGAAAGCCAAATCCATAGCTCCTGTCTGTACTACAATTTACTGTGCACTTTATATGAGGTCTTTTACAGTTACATGTTGTAACTGAAAAGCCAGCATACTCATTAGGTGATTTAAGTTATTTCCTTGAGTGGAAAAAGTTGATTTGGGGGTTGTAGGTCATCAATAATTTGCTCATGTGTGAAATGAAAATCCACCTTGAGGTCAGCTTCCAGTAAATTCATCCTGAGCTCAGGCGATTTGGAAACACCTGGCTAAGCCCACTAATTATTTGATTGACTGCTATAACTTGAAAAACAAGATAAAGCTATCAGACAGTAATGACTTAACCTGAACTTTTAACCACTGCTGATTTTTTAAATAAAGAGATCGAGGCCGGTAGCAAATGCAGCTGCCACAGGGCAGCACAGCCCACTGGTCAGCAATGCTAATAGCTCTCTACAAGGAGCCCACAGCCTTCTCAATCTGATGAGTAGCACGCCAAGATCTTTAGACAACCAGATTCATGAGACATGACCCACCATGCTGGAGAGCCAAGGGATAGTGCAGGTTGAAGGGTGATGCAGCCAATAGGGCTTTCTTAGGGTTTCGGCATCCTTACGGCAGGATGGAGCGGGCTGCAGGGGGAATGCAGCAGGTTCCCAAGAGCAGCCAGTACCAGCAGCCTCAGTCACTTCTGTGTGCCCCTTTCCTCCCCATGCTGAGGATTCCAATTACACAGCAATCAATCCCTGGGGCAGTGCTGTCTCACCTCTGATTACATGAGCTGAAAGCCATGAGCTAATGCAAGGTTAAAAGAGTGTATCAGAAAGCATTTGAAAGCTGTGTTTCTTCTGCTTTTAAGTTGCACTTTTTGCTGATTCACTGAGAGCTCTTATTTCCCCAAATATTTGATATTGCTTAGATGTGTGTGTCCTGTGTTACGGGGTTATATGGCTGTAATTTCTTACTTGCCCAGATTTTTCTGGACAGCTGCCCAGTGCTGTGTCCCCTGTTAACACTACTGACATTGTACTCTTCTTAGCCTAACATAGACTAGAATCCATTTTTCAGTTGGGTTTGTGATGCCATACAAATTTTACACATGTGGAAACAGTGAGGTAATGGACATATGGATTCTTTATAGGTAAAAGGGATATATGAACTGTATGGATGTAATTTTGGTAATCTGTACCTGGGCATTTCTGAAATACATATTTTGATGGAGCAATTAAGGACTAGTTAATAGCAAAGAGGTTTCAAATTCTTAACTGAAATCTTAGTCCATGTGCTCTATCAGTTAAGGATGCTGTCCTGTCCCTTTTCAAGTGATTTTTTTAATCTGTTGCAGTTATTAATTATAACTTAATACTCTTGTAAATTAAAATCATCCTATGATATAGGATGTTTCAAAGAGTTCCTGTTGTGATTTTATGTGAAGAATGCCAGAGACGTGAGAGATGTACGTTAAATTATATTAAAAACATAGCTATAGAGTGCATGTTAGGTTCACCTTATATCCTGCAGGTACTCAGTCATCCAAACTCAAGGTGCAGAGTCCTCAAAATCGCAAAACTCTCTATTTTGGGAGAGGAAGGAGTGACAGCATCTCTCCCTCATCTGATGGTGTTGGGGTTAATGAGCCCAAAGGTAGCGCCTTGCCAGGCATCTACAGGGTTTCTCTTTCAGGACTCACTTCATCTCACCTTGTTTACAGCACTGCATCCTTCAGACATGTCCTCAAAGCAAGCCAATGACATCTCAAGAGTGTGTGTGTGTGCCAACAGCACACTGACGGGTCTCTGGCAGAGAAGCATACCAGTGCTCAGTCTTTCTGAGTCCTACCAGCAGGGGGGTTGGACTAGATGATCTCTAGAGGACCCTTCCAACCCCGAACATCCTGTGATTCTATGATTCTGTGATTCTGCTCTCTTCAGAGTGAATTGGGCAGCTGCCCTATCCGAGGTTGTGCTAGCCCTGCAGTTGCTGCTGGACCTGGAGCTGGAGTCACCCTTCGAGATAAAGTGCACACAGCTAGCAGGGGGCTCAGCCTGCCCAGCCTGCACAGCCTTTCCCCCATGCCCAAGCTCTCCGAATGACCGCCACCAGTGCTTCAGCATTGCGCAGTCCTGTTGATAACGAACTAATTACACTTAGTGAACGAAGCAGCTTGGGAGGTCTGAAGCTGTGGCTGGTGGGGTAACGAAGATGATGTGCTGTCTGTGCCGAGCTGGGGCAGGTACTGAGCTCTGCTGTGCTCTGCTGTGCCCACTCTGAGACAGAGGGGCAAGGGAGGGAGCCCCAACAAGAGCAGGGACCAAGGCAGTGCACCCCAGCCCTTCCAGTTCTGTAAGTCACTGTTTTTGTTGTGGCATAAGTTAGCATAAGCTGTTTGGGACACCTGGACGAGTTCTTGTGTGATCTACTCTAGGTGATCCTGCTCTGGCAAGCGGGTTGAACTAGAAGATGTTTTGAGGTCCCATCCAACCCCTAGCATTCTGTGATTTTGTGATGACAAAAACTTTCTGAGAGTTCATGAGTTATTTATTAACTTACTACAATGTCTTTATCTATATGTGGGAACTACTGCCACTGCAGTAAAGCTCTAGAGATTGATGTGAGACAAGAATGCAGCTATTTGCCATGGTCCCTACAGACACCGCTGCTGTTTCATTAAATAAGCTGATTCAGAAGAAATCACCATTGAATTTAATGGTTCTTAACAGCTGACCTAATTTCCTCTAGAAAGAGTTAAACTCCTCTATGATATGTCAATTCGGCATCAAGAATTTCTTGCTTTTGTCTAGTGCGTGACTGGCATCCTACCACACTGATCTAAAGTGTATTACAGCAGGGGGAACTGTCGTTTAAGAATCACGTTTAGAAAAATCAGTGTAATTGTTTTACTTAAAAAAATATATTGAAAACATTACTCAATCTGTTTTTTTTCTTCTCAGTTAGTAGCCTCCATCGTGTTTATCAGCTTTGGTGTGGTAGCAGCGTTCTGTTGTGCAATAGTTGATGGAGTGTTTGCAGCACGGCACATAGTAAGTACAGTTATTTTCTATCATCTTTCATTTTTGATTACTTATGTCATTTCTATCAGGCAAGCATTTTCTTTAGGTTTGTGACTAGCCATATATTAGCTTTTCTGGTAGCTCTTCTTGTTGGAGAAAAGTCTTCTGGCAAAAAAATTAACAGAAAAGCCCATCATGCCAATACCCAGAGATGGTGCCAACTGCTTATTGATCTCTCAGGGAGTTCCAAATACAGAGGTGGTGTAAAATGATGTAATGACAACCATGCTAAAATGCATACCTGCTTAGGAAAGGGAAGACACTTCAGCCACCACCAGCATTTGTTTCCTTTTGGCACAAAGACTTTGTGGGCACGGTAAGAATTTGGAACACGCTGGACAGTGATGAGCACCAGAAGTCCCCATGGGATCTTAGAGGGAAGTGGATTGCAACAGCACAGAGGGAACATTTTTCTGGAGCAGAGAAAGCAGAGCAAATGGCAGGCTTTGGTTAGAGGTAGCGTGAAGGGGGGAACTTACTGAGTGATAACCCAAAATTCACTATCTGCCTGCCTTCAAAGGGTGGGCAAGTCATTTAACCAGAGTGACCAGTATTTCCAGTGTCTCTTCAAAACTCAGTCCTCCTCTTTCTACAAAATCTATTGCCATTTCTGCTCCAAAAGGACATTTATAGCCATTCACAGCACTGCAGTTGCAGTGGTGTTACTAGTAGTTCAATACTGTCTATGAGTGCTTAGGAGTCTTTCTCATGACCTTCTTGTGTAAGCACTAGACAAACTTAGAACAAAGAGTTTTGTTGTTTGGGTTTTTTAATTTATTTTAGCTCATGGAGTTCAAATTAAAGTATTAGACAAAAAAGATCAATAGAAGAACAAAACAGACTGGGTTGTGGGGTCTTTTGAATATGGCAGTTTACGTGTTGGGTATGTGTTTTTTGCCATTCTATCTTTTGTGATAAAATACCTAAAAATCAATCTAACTCCAACCTTTTAATTGAGCTTTGATTTCCAAAAGCATCAAGAAATAACTAGTTATATGTCTTAATAGACACTAGAATGCAGATGAAGTGAGCTGCATAATACAAGAAGTACAAATTATCAAGGGCCTGTTCAGCTTTCTACTTATGTTCATGGAGGGGCAGCGTAACACCACTGGCATCAGTCAAACTCAATTTTCTGTTAGCAAGCGCATCAGAGTAATGCGGCTTTGGATCACCTGGAGCATAAACCCATAAACTGATTTTTTTTTTTTTTTACTGTTATTGAAGAGGATTTTAAACCAAACATGGGCTTCAGAACCTCACGTGCATTGCACAAGGAAGGATACATCTATTGGTATAAACAACTGAATTGTGCAATGTGATCATGAGTAAACACTCTGGACTGTAATCATGTTTTGTGCTATCCAGACCCTGCATGATGCTGAAGTGAGCTGCTTTTCCTTGGATTTGCCCTGCTATTGCTCTGGATGACACCTGACTTAACTTTGTCTCTGATTAATGTAAGCCCAGGGTGCCTTTCTGTGGGAAATGCTCAGAAGAGGTGTGGGGGAGATTCCTATGTAGGTTTCCCACTCTTAGAAATTTAGTGATTGTGCCCCAGAAAACCTTTGCCACTTAATCAAATATTGGACCTGTCTCCTGTTTTCCCAGGAACCAGCCTTATTTTTGTCCTGCTTTGATGTGATCCTTAGGAAGTGTTCAGGTGACACTTGTACTGTCTAACACCTTATAACTGCAAAGCAGCTGTGCAGCCACAGCCCACACTGCAGAGATTGGACATGGTGCCGCTGTCTCTGAAGTGATTTACTGTGTCAGAGAACAGTGTGTATGCTCAGTCTCGAACACAGAGACAGGCATCACAGAGACAGGCAACTTAGAGACAGACATCACCTCTTTCTAGGTATTTCCTTTTTCAGTTTGCACTCTTCTGGATTTAAGTTCCTTTCATGTGTGTTACTTGGCTCTTCTAGAAAAGACACTGCTTCCTATCTAAATCAAATATCATATTAGAATATTATTATACCCTTATATCTGAAGAAACAACATCCCATACATGACACCTAAAGTTTCTATTCGGCTCCTTTTTATTGCAGCGTAAATAGCTATGTGGCATTGTCCGATGTTGTGGCATGCCCTTGGTGTGTTGTTATGGACTAAAAGTGATTCAGTTCATTGCAGTGCTCTCTGGGGACAAAGCGGGCCACTGAGTTGTCACAGGAGAACACCAAGGCACGAAGTCATTGCACTCACCCAAGAAGAAAGCATCTTACAGCCTGGGGTGCAGTTCTGTATCTGGTTAAGTCAGTGCCTGGGTAGGACTGCATCATCTACGCACAGCTGGAGCCTGGAAGGGGCTGCTCAGCATCCAGCCATCCCTCGGTACAGCATTACATGCTTCATGGAAATCTGTTTCCAGCTGTTTATGTTTGGGTCAAGTTTAGATTATCACATGCCTCTTCTGGTCTCCTTCACATATTACAGAACAAAGAAATAGCTAGTAGTATTGTTTGTTGGAAAACTAATTTGCATATCAACATGGTCATGTTCACTTCATCTCATTTTCCTCCTCTATCTAATAAGGAGGTTGACAGGATCAGGTGAAATAAAGGTGTACATCACCTAATTTATCTGACTAACACACCTGGGGAGATCTGTAGGGGTAGTAGTGCAAGCACATTCCTAATCTGATCTACAGGGATGGCTGGACTTTATCAAAAGAAGGTGTGTCATGCAGACCATGGTGTCATGGCCACTGCGTTACGTGCCCTTTGCGTCACAGCTCATTCCTGTCACACCACACTCAGTCCATTCCATGCAGGGGCCAGTACCAGACATTTTCAAACCTGTGTTGTGTTGTTGCTGCTCTGGCCACTGCCTTTGGGAGACAACTGCTAGAGAATTGGACTAAAGTGTCCTCTGTTCAGGGAGAGGACAGGCTCCTGGCATGTCAGAGCAGGTGCCTAGGTCTACACTACAGTCACAAAGTTTTCTTGAGGAGGAGTTGGGCAGTGTTCACTTTTCTGTCTCCAATATCAGGGTGCTGATGCCAAGACTTCATGTCCCATTTCTTCTGCAGGGAGAAGTACTAGCTTAAGCCAAGCAGGCTGCAGACCACCAACATATACAACACCCTTCACATCAATTTGGAATAAAAAAAGTTTCCTGCTTTTCACTTTATTTTTAACTTCGTTCGAGTTGGGAGGGATGTGAAGAGGACAAATCACATTATTATGGATTTTTCTTGGTGTGTGCCTGCTGTGGAATGGAGACTATTACTGTTGCACATTTTCTCCTGCTCTTGTAAAACTGTGGATAGAATAATAAAATACTTAATCTGTTTTATTTTCTTCCCCACAAGGCATAAAATTGACAAAAATTCTTCCAGGAAAGGGATGTATTTCAGAAAAAGAGATATTTAAATTATTTAAGACTCATTTTAAAACACTCAGTAGAAAACTCTGGAGCACAGCACTTAGCAAATTAAGCACATTGAAGGAAAAGTAGCTTGGTTTAAAATAGCAGCAGCTTATTTAAAAAAATGATGCAGATACAATTTACTGTTGAATGTTAATTTTGCCATTGATCCCTTCAGTTGCACTTTTCACCTTTAAAGAACAAGAAAAATAATTCCAAATTAAACAATTCAAAGCTGGAATTAAAGTGCAGTGTGTTATTTCAGAAAAAAATGTGATGAGCACAAGAATCCATTATCTTCATTCACGTTTGCTTGCGACATTTTGTTATTTAGCATATGAAAATAGCCCAGTTGTGCAACAGCTAATGGAGTTCATCAACAACCTCCTCTCACCACACAGGGAGACCCCCTGTTCCACCTCATATACACTTTCTCTATGGTACCTACTACCCTGTGATCCATGACTGCAATTCTTGACTTTTGCCACGTGCTTGGAGCTGAGTTCCAGTGCCACGGAAAGCTGTAAGCTCCAGTGAAAAGCTCATCCAAGGGTTCTGTACCTAAACTATCTTAGAAGCGCTTTCAAGATATTCCTCTGAAAGAGTCATTATTTTGCGGGCCTCCTATAAGCAGCCTGCATGTTATTTGTCTGGGTGGGTTGAATAGACACATCTTTGATTAAATGTGTAATGTATGGTGACTTTGAAAGATAATAAGCTGCTTACAACTTCTAATTTTGCACGGTGAAGCGACAGATTGGTAAAATAATCTGATGCACTTCAGGTTAACATTCATGGCTTAGTATATTACTAGTAATTTGGGACAACTCGGATGATGTTACTGTATTAGAAACCAAAACCTTAAATGGACTATGCTAGGGGAAATCATGTTTCAAGAACCTGAGGAGAGAGCATCTTGCTCAGTTGTTTGAAGTTTCCGACGTCACTTTTTATGCAGATAGGCCTTAATCCATCCAAGAATTTACCTAAGTGCCCACGAGAAAGAGACTGAGAAAGAGGTGGAATGCAAAATGTTGGGAAAACTGTCCAGAGAAAGGAAAAAGTATCATTTGTCCATAAGATTATCGTACTGGAGATCAATGCAGGATTTGCTCACCTTCACTAGAAAGCACAGGCACAAATGGTTACTTTGATCATGGAGATCTGGAGACTTTTTTATTCTTGCTACAGATTGCCTTGGTTCGTAGTAGTGAAATGGTGGAGGAATAAGAGAGCATCTGTAGGTTTTTCGTGATACAGGATAATTCGGTAAACAGTGAAGGAGTCTCTGAAGGAGACTAGATCCCAACTGTAGTACTTCTGGGATAAAAACATGTTGCAGTGGCTTTGAAATCATGTGTATAGACACAGTAAATGATCTTGTCTAGCCGAAGTACTTTAATGTGACTGCATATATATACAAAGGAGAGGCTTCTTGGTGCCTTAGGCATAACATCACTCACTTCAAGCAAAGGTTCAAATCCCCTCCTGCCTGAGAGCAGACACATCTTGGATTCTGGTTTACAATAGCAGATTCTCACTGAGGGTTCTCAGCACTTCAGATGTGCGAGAATTGAAACAGAGGCAGAATCGGA